GATGAATTTTATAGGATAGTTAGTTAGTTATTTGACACCAACGCTTCTTCTTCTGTCTGTTTTATTTCATCATTTAGGTGTTTTCTTGTGCTACTACTCGGTTTGTTAGACACTTAACTAACCGTACCTTAATAGTTAGCAGATGAGGTGATGAATTAAAGTCTAAATATCTGTTAGCAGAATGCGCGTCGGTTTTTTATAAACACTAGTGTGTAGTTCACCTTCTTCTATTCGTTTTATTTTACAATCTGACAAACATCACTGCTAATTGTCCTTGTTCACTTTCCCATTCAAATGTGAATTTTATTCCCTCTACTAGTGAGTTTATATGTTTGTGTCAAGTAGCTAGAGAGAGAGATCTGTTCTGTTTTTAACACTGTGTGTGTGAAAGTGTCAGTCATTCACATATCTCCATCATATTTTCCCAGCTATCCATCTACAAAGATATCTGCTACGATAGGGGATACTGGTGATCCATCTCATTGCTACACACCTTCTGTTTGTCTGTCTATATATACATATTTTGCCTTGGAATTTAAACACAGTGTAGATGTGAGTGTGGCGCATAATTGAATTCCTAAAATAATTTCCTCCTCAATGGGCAGCTGCTTTGTCCTATGAGTGAGGGAGTGAGTGAGTTCAAGGTCTGAAGTTTTTTATCCAGCGATCGATTACTAGCCCCAACAGCATACATTAAAACAAAAATAACGTGTATTTATATACATCAAAGTGTAAGATATTCTTTAGTGTATTTAGAAAAATAAAATTAATAAATGCATTCAAATACAAAACAAAACAAAAAAGAGAAATAAAACAACAAAAATGTCGATCGACATATATGGAAAAGTCCAATTCATACATAGATTCCTTCATTCTTTTATCCATCCATTCATTCCTTCCTCATTCTAACCATATAAAGCTTGTGGGCCGCCTCCGCCTCCAGCAGTTGGACCAGCTGAACTGATCGGATATGATGCGGCGACAGTTTGTGTTATGAGCAGGACAAGTTGAACTAACGCAGAATCACTACTGCTTGAGGCCATAGCATTCGCCTTAGATTCAACATCGGTATCATGCAATAATCGAAGTAGGCTTGGACTACTACCGCCTGTATCCGACTGACCGCGTAGATGATGATTGTTGGATGAAGTAGCACCAGTAGTGGCACCCACCCCAGCAGCAGAAGCACCAACACCAGTGTTACTGCTGCTACTACTACTACTACCAGCAGTGCAACTATTGCCACCAGCACTTTGCTGTTGACTGCTTGTTGGATAAATGACAACATGATTCGCCTCCCAATCATAGCCGACAAGGACGAGTTGTGCAAGGGGAACTGGACCTTTCGCCTAAAACACACACACCAAAAGAAAATAAATTCAAACAACATTATTTATTTATTTTTCAGTGAATACTTGCTTGCTTGCTTATGTTGTTGTTTTTTTTTTGTAGAGGTTGAAAGTTTACGAAACAGAAATTTCCAGCAAGTCAATCAAGTCAAGGTGGTTTAAACTTTCTAACTATCAGCTGGGGCTTCCACAAACTTTAGGATACGCCCTCCACCGAACACGCTTTTATAGATAGATAGGCCTTTGAAAGATGTGTTAGTTAACGTCAATTTTATGTCCTGTCTCTTCTACAATATGTTCCACAATAGAGGACCTAGGTCTTCGTCTGTTCTCACCATTAATGGGTTCTGAAGATTCCATTTGCTTCTGGAGCCATTTAGGAATATGCTCTGAAGCCGCCAGTCCTTACTTGCAGAGATCGATGAATCCTCCCTATGTATGTTCGTGTGTGTGTTCACACATACATTCGAATGGGTAAATACAGTTGGATGTGACTTCATATTTCTCATTTTCGAAGGGCTCAGATGGATGGATATATTGGCTTCACATTCTCAATTATTATGATATTAGCTGCATAAAAGTTTGTATTTTTAACCACAACAGCGTTTAATCTTTGTCTAGTTATCAAGCAGCTATGATGCCCCGCCCATATAGGGTAGCTTGATGTACACGTCTTTCTAAGGGGCGAGTTGTAGTTCACCGTGCCGAATTTACAGTCCCGTTATATTCAGACGTCACAATTCAACTGACTACTTACGTGATCATATAAATGGTTCGGGGTTCGATTCCCGGCCGACGCACTCCTTTACCTTACTAAGCCAGAAGTAATGCTGGTGAGGAGGAAAGGTTGGGCATGTGGCTAGCAACCCCATCCTATAAAAAAAACACTGCTGCAGAAACTTCAAGCCACTAGCTTGGAGCCTTATGTTCCACTGGGGAACGTGAAGGGAAAAAAAAACTTACGTGAATAGGCAGAGAGATTATCTATCTGTAAGCATAAAAGATAATACACCTGTCAACTGCACTGACGAGTGGCAGCATACTGACTGACTGACTGGCTTACTTATGCTGTTAAGGCTAATTCTCCTTTCATCATTTCGAAGGAATACTTTATTTTTCTATAGTTGGTTTGTGTAAGGGTTATAGTTTTGTTTTACCGAGTTGATCATGGATTGATATCAGTGACTTGCTACAGGATGGAGTTTCCTGCAGTGAGTTCTAGTGAGAAGTCGTGACCAGTGCAGTGAAGTCCAACCAGTACAGTAGTAGTCAAGTGTGAGAATGGATTTCCCACCGATGACCATCAATGACAATGGTTGGTGGTGCCAGTCGCGCTAAATTTATCACGAATTGGTAGAAGTTGGAATTCATGCACTGGCTGGTCATTGAGGAATTGGGTCCCAGTGAGTGGTGGCTGAATGGTATACGAGCCACCTAGCTAGCTGGCCTTGTAACCGGAAGGTCCTGGGTTCGAAGCCATCCACCCATTGAGGTGGTTACTGCGTACTGCCAATGATTCCCAAACTGGGCTGATGAGATGAAACAGCTGGCTATCCAGTACTCCCCACCATGCTGGTTTTCAATGCTTCTCTAACTGGTTGATATCAATCCGTGATCAACACTCGCGTAAATACTTATTTCACTCCATTTCACAAGTTTATTTTTCATATCCTTCTTGTGCTTTAAAGTTTCTCCTGCGAATGGATCACGATTCTCCGGAGTACAGTACAGTCATTAGCCCCAAGGTCAAACAATTCCATCTTTTCACGCGCTTACAATTCAGGTTAGTCAGTTAGTTAGTTAGTTAGTGGAACTAGTACACACCAGACAGAGATTACAGGCAACAACAACAACAAAGAAACCTGGCAACCAACTCGATCCAAGAACCAGTCACCAACACAGACATACAAAGCAGCAGGTGTGTTTTGGACAAAAGCTGTGAAGAGACCACCATTGAGTGGAACGCAAGTGAGAAATGACGAATTGGGTATTGTTCACAGAGCGACATGGAGGGAATCGTGTGAAGAGAGGAGATAAAAGCAGCTTATGGGTATTGTCGGAGGTAGGAATAATGATAATAATAATAATATCATACTCTTTCTTCTTCCTAAAACCAAAAAACCAAAAACGAATGAAAATCGCCTTGAATAAATCACCCGCACTGAAAAAACTGTTTGACGAAGTTCAACAGTCGCGTCCGTCACAGGAGTGCGAACGCTCTCCAATGATCTTGAAGGCATGCTAGTCGTTGATTGACGAAGGCACCTGTTACATATCAAAACTGAACGCTATCAAGGCTATTCACCAACTTAGAAGCAAATTTCAAGCCAGATCACTTTTTTTTAAGTAATGTTTGGACAATGTGTTAATAGCTCGTTGGGGTTAGGATCGGGGTCGTAATTAGGATTAGGATTAATGTTATTGTCAGTGTTAAATTTAGGGTTAAGAGATCAGGATTAAGATAAGGGCTACGATTAGGAATATATTTATAGTTAGTTGATGTCATTTATTTTATTTTTTGTTTTTCTTATCCACACTTTCCTGGTATGTGGTCGTCGATCCTCTAACTGGGAACTGTATAGTAATTCAACTGAGTGAGGGCTTTTGGGAAAGACTGCACGCACAACAGGATGGATAAGAGAGATAAAAAATTCAGAAAAACAGCTCATCAGTAGTCATATCTCGGTGAATACTCATGTACAGAAACTAGTCTAACTTAGCAACTGATACTCCTCATTATAACTAGGACGTATTTTTTTAAGTCACATCAGCAGAGGAAGATACCCCGTTTATAAAGTGTTTTCATGCATTTTCTTGTAAATATACGTCATCTCTTTTGTACATAAATTCCTCATTTTTATGATTGGTCAGCTGAAGTTCATCCGTGTGAGTTCGCATCCCTTGGGACGACACTATTTTGTTGAACTTTGCCAACCATTTATAAAGAAAATAGCATTTATGAAATGTCCTTTACTGGGTACTATCATGATATGCCGTAACCTGAAGGTACGCACGTTAACGCTACGGTAACAAAAAGAGAAACAATAAAGAAAATCTCAAGGCAAACAGAGAACACCACCCCAACGCAAAGATGAAGTGACTCTTTTGTGTTATTCATCAAGCATTGAGTTTCTCAGCCCAGAGGTGAATACCTACCTACCTACCTTATGAAAAGGAGGATAAACATTTGGTCTGATATTATTCAACATTTTCAATTCAATTTTACAATTATTAGTGTTCTCTGAAGAGCTGGTTGGTTTAGTTGCGGAGCTTTCGTCACTCACCCCGCCCTCTCAGCTGGACAACATCCCCTTTCGGCGCAATTTTTAGCATATAGTGAAATGATTTGAATTTTTCCATGGGTGGTGATAGAATTCGTCTCCCAGCAACCATATTTACATCTGTATTGACCTTTTTCTATTGACTTGGATTTTAAACTTTCTGGTCACATGATCTACTTTTTATTTGTTGGTATATTTCGTCTATATTAACGTGTTTGCTAATTGCATATTCGTTTGAGTACCAGGCTTTTAGGAATTCCCTGACTACACTTTTGGTGGTGTTTCCTCTGTCTAAACCTTCGACATTATCCCAGTTATCGAACTGATGTCCATAATTATCTATATGCATTGATATGAAACAGGAATATATAAATCATGTCTTTTCACAGCTGATTTGTGTTCCTGGATTCTGATTCGACGCTCTGGGGACGCCCACTTCGACCACCGATGTAATGGCTTTTACAGTTCATATATGCAATTTATTTTGTAAATGGTATTGATTTTATCTCCTTTTTCTGTTGGATGTGTCTTTCGGTTTGCACAATATCTAATTAAGTGATTGAACTGGCTGGCTGGGTTGTGTGCTATATCAATCTATATCAAACGGTTTCAATATTCTAGCTGTTATTTCACAGATATTTTCGCTAATATATGGTAGGATGAATTTTCTTGTGTTCTTTGATGATAATGTTTCCTAGTTGGTGTTGTGATTGGATTTTAAACACTCTTTGATGAAATTTTGTGGATAACCATTCTTTTTGAAGATCGTTATCAAGTATTTTTCTTCCCTTCTTTTCAACTCTGTAGTACTACAATGTGTTTGAAATTTCTTTTATACAATGTCTGCACACAGTTTCTTTTGTGACCGTAATATTTTCAGCCTCCGTCGACATATATATATATATATCGCCTTTTATAGTACAGAAACATCTAAGACAGTGTCTACGGATTATAACTTGAAGGTAATTGGTGGAAGGTGACTTGTGCTGAGAGCTCGCTGGCGAAATATCGACGAATATGCGACAGGGTCAGGTAAACAGTTTCCAAAGTGGGAAGGAGGACCACATATGGTCACTTTGAGATGGTGGGGTTACGCAGACACAATCGCAATGGTAAACAAAGTGGCAAATAGGTGAACATCAGTGAGCGCCGAGATTCCAGACAGTAAGACAAATGAACTAAGCCCCTAGAACCAAGAAGACCGAACAAACCAACTTCAGTCGCAAGTCTTTGACTGAGGGGGGGACGAGTGTGGTGATAGCTGTCTGCGCTAGCCAAAAATTGGTGGACAGTAATTTACGTCAATGTTCATGTCCCAAATATTGGTCATGAGAAAAGAACAAGAACAAGAACAAAGACTGACTGACTCAACCAACAACTAATCACAGCACACTTTGTTTGCGTAGGCGGATACAATTAGCAGATAGATAGATGATCTGACCTTCAAAAAACAGCCACAAAGAGATGAAAGATTAACTAACGCTGAGTGAGAAACAACCACCAATCAGAAGACTGTGTTTGTCTGCTAACAAGAATCTATAATAATAATGTACATGAAAATCGAAAAATGTGTTGATTTCTAAATAAAGGATCTGCTGCCTGGCCCTTGTCTTCAGCTGTTACAGCCTGACTGACTTACTGACTGACAAGCAGTGGAATCCAGGATGTGCATTTTATCCGAGTCAATTGAATTTTAAAAGAAATAATAATGATAATTGATGTGCATTGAACGAGAGGTTGCTCTCGCGATCCAAGAGGTTTAGTGGATAAATCTGACCTAAACAAACTGGTCAGCACTCACCAGCTGTGCAACATAAACGGCACTGAAGTACAGACCAAGTCGGAAATTAAATATCTTGGCGTCATTCTATCTGCTCGTCTTTCCTGGTCATCTCATATCTTGATAATTTCTAAGAAAATATTCCGTCTTACCTTCTACATCAAGTTAAGCAACCCAACTCAACCCTTACTCCCACGATTTGTTAACTCTTCCATCCTGCCTATTATTCTCTATTGTTCCCTCTTAGTTTTTCCAGGGCTACTGAAGAAGAACCATATATCTTATTACGTAGGGTGTTAAAGGTTGTCAACAGGGTAAGCAATGTGCCACTTAACCAGCTTGTTAATATTCTGGTCGACAGACAGGCACTTGGACTCATATGAAAAATGAGGGCTAAATCCATTCTATCTAACTCACTCACACCACCCTCTTCATTCACAACTCTCCCCTTGTATCTCATCAGGCAGGACTAGAAGCCTATATATAGAAAACTATATGTGCTCGCACTAGCAAGTACAAAAACTCAACCATACCCTAAATGGCTCGTGTTCTGTGCGATAAAGAAAGCATTAGGCGTGAAACTTGTAACTTATTAAATAGTCAGTAGAACAATTGGATCTCGTCTTTCCAACTCATATCATTTATAGGTACAACATTTTCTTTCTTCCTTTCTTTTCCTTTTCTCTCTGTTTTTTTTGTTATGTGCTGTTTTGTTTATCCCTTCCTTACAAACTCGACTTGAAACATTACTGTTCGTTCTTTCACACTCTGTATATCTCGACCTTTTCGTGTTACCGCTTACGACAGTAAATATGCTAGTATATCTACTCTTCTAAGCACCTTCAAACACTTTGTTCACTTTTGGCTTTGCTGCTGCCGATATGCTTCCGATATGTTGTTGTCAAAAACTAACTGAGACTACCCATAATCTAAGTAGAATTTTATTCATTGTTAATGTACGCAAACTGGATGCACTATACTGTAGTGAAGGGCTGGGAGTTCCATTCTTTATCACAAGTACTGTTTTGGAATAAAGCAAATTATTATTATTATAAAGTTTTGACGGTTAATATTTGATGCGAAATTTATGAAATTCCAACTAGCTATTACAAATAGCTTCAGAGATTATAAAATTACTCATATTGTTTGTAGTAGTAAAAGACAGAATTAACACAGAAAAAAACAAAACAAAACAACAAGCCTACCTGATGACGAGAATGTGAACGCATAATTAACAATTGTAGAGTTATTTTCGGTGGACGTACAATTATCCCAGGCATACCAGCTTGTAAATCTGTACCTGTATCAAATATGAGTAGATTTTGTTGTTGTGCAGAATTTGTTGACTGGTTATTGTTATTGTTATTATTACTCGCTACAGCAGTGACACGCGAGTTTATCCCCATCCCGATAAGACCAATACGTACATAAACAGGCGCTTGAGCTGGCGAGTGCAGATCAAACGCGAGAACACGAGCCATTGCACGTAAAGCGTGTGGTGGCAGTAACAGCAGTTGGAAGAAGGCAGTGACTGCACTCGGTTGAAAAGGAAAAGAGCAAACCTGAAACATAGTAGAGATATACACACACTCCAATTTATGGGTAACACGAAGCAAGTTAAACACAGTTGAATAGTCAGCTAGGAGAATGAATTCCAATATTCCAAAGCATATCAGTCAGTCAGTGATCTTTCTTTCTCAGTTTAGACAGACAGACAGAGCAGTGTGCACACACACCCAAAGTTTTCCGATATCACAAACTGGAACAAAAAGAATGTCTGCACGGTTACACATGAATCCGTGAACTACACTAATAGCAATTTATAAATTTCTCACTTTCTAGAAGTCCTCAACGCGTTCTCAGATTCTCACACTTGTGTTTCTTACACTCGCACTGATTACCTGCAATCAACTTCTTAAGAGGGCTTCGTTAACGTCAGTTGGCAGCAACACAGAATTTCGGACTACGTGAGTGAGAAATATCAACGACGAAATATATTTAACATGTAACCACATCTCAAAAAGTGCATTGTGACGCACAAGATCGTGGTCACTGATAACCATCAAAACGACTAACCAGTCTCAAGAGAGTGTACAACGTGAAAGCATTGTGTCTGTATAAACAGCGGTTAAACAACGCTAGAATAGTCAAAGCTTACACTTACATTCGTCACAGTTACTTGCAAACCACGCATAACACAAAGCCGAACACGGCAGTGCCTACCTACACATCGAATAAAAAATCCAATTGGCAGCCTCTATACGGCCGTAGATCATTTGATCAGCTGATGTCTACAGACTGTATTTATTGAGAAAACCTCAAAATTATGTAATTATTTGTTGTTTTACACACCTCTTTATGCTTGCATTTCCGGTAAAAGTCGATGGAATAAAGCGTTTTTAGCATAGATAGCAAATGATACTGTCCTTATCCGTCCGTAGTTTACGGCCAGTTTACAAATAGTTGAAATACGTACAGTTGCGTTAAGAAAATGCCGAATCACTTAAAGACACATATTAGAACGACTTCTAGTGATGGGTTTTTGCAGTTCAAACGACTACACATCGATATGATGAGGTAGGCAAGTTCGTTTTCTTGATTATTTTCACTTACTTTGCTGTGTAATTTTGATGATGGGGTGTTCAAACTCCTCCACATGTATTTCTTTAAGGGGAATCTACAGAAATACTTAGGAATTATATACGCCATAGTATTTACTTGTCTTATGGCATGGACTTGATGTTTACATCTGCTTTTGACTCTGTACCTAGAGGCCTATTGCTAAACAAGCCTAAATTTACACAAACTTAGCCCTGGGCTATCAACTGGCTACACTCTTACTTCTCTAATAGGATGCAGTACACGGTATATAATGGTGTATCTTCCTCTCATTTGCTTACTGAAGCTGTGGAGTTCCTCAGGGTGCGGTTCTCTCTCCGTTTCTCTTTTCCTTCTTCTAACATGACATACCTCTTACTATATTGAAATCAACTTCGTCAAATATGCAGATGACCTGTCTGTATCGTTTCCCATTAAGTCTCAGTCAGACTGTTTCAAATTAAATAGCTTCCTGTCGGACATCAGTCAGTGGTCTAAACTAAATGGCATCATGCTGAATCCCTCAAAATGCCAGACTATTGAATACTCTCTCCTTTAGGCATAAAGGAGATCTACAAACACACTAGTAAGTACTCATGAAGCCTGTTGCATTGAGGGGACTAAAACTGAAACTAAGTCTAATGCTAAATACCTCGGTCTAGTTAGTTCTGTCTTCCGACCTTACTTGGTCATCTCATATCCTAACGATTTATAAGAAAGTGTCCCGTCTTACCTACTACTACATTAAGAAACTTAGAAAATCTGGAATAACCCAACCTCTACTTTCACAATTTGTGAACTCTCGTATCTTGCTCTATTCTTCTTTACTGCTCCCCGACCCGCAACACACGCTCAATTTCCAACTCTCGCCTTGTATCTCATCAGGTAGAACCAGAAATCAGTATAAAATAATCTATGCTCGTACAACCAAGTACAGGAACTCAGCGATACCATACTTGGCCCGTGTTCTAAGCGACAAAGACAATGTTAAGCGTGAAACTTATGACTTGCTCTGTTATTAACAACATAATTTTAGGCTCTTTTATTTCTCTCTTATTTTGTATATTTCAGTGAACTCCTTCTTAAACATACTTGCTGCCTAAATTATTAACATTAGCTTACTTTTTTGTACTTCACTCTATTCCTTCTTTTGTGTATCTACTGGTTCCGACTATAATTGCTCTATGAGTAGTACAAAATTTCCCTGTCATTAACCATCATGTAATTATTAGTTTTGTGATTGTTTTTTGTTCGGCAATATTAACTGACAATCTTGGTTGTGAACGCCATTATTATCATCTTAAAATTTTGTATTATGCAGGGTGACTCACACTACCACTACAAACACTGCATTAGACCTGACAATAAAAAACAAAACAACAACCCTGAAATGTTATTTTATGATTGTTTAGTGTTGTTTCAACCGAATTAACTGATCATCTTAACGATAAACATGCTTAAATATCATTTCATAACTTTTTGTATGACTATAGCTTAACTGTCACCATGCATAATCATATCATAGCTTCCACTACCCAACACTGAGTTATTAATATATGCTGTTTATTTTCCTTTCTACTTCTTGGTATTTTTTTTCGCATTTTTTTGTATTATTTCTGTGTTTTTTGTTTTCGTTGTTGTTGTTTTTTATATTTATTTTTTGAAATACTCCTTTTAAATGTTTGATAAAATTAGATGCAAATATTGTAGATATGTGGAAAAAATTCCACACTGTGCCACTAGTTCTGTTTCTGGAATAAAGCAAAGTCATTATTATTATTATATATTAAGTGTCGAGGAAATAGTCTACAGCGCGTGTGTGTTGAATTTCTTTAACTGAGGACCAGAAACACAGATTTACTTCAACGATAGATAAGAAGAAATAGAGTACACACACACACACACCTATCAGCGCATTTACTGTCGTACAGTCCATGTTCATTCACTCTGATTTTCACCTGTCTGCTATTATTATTATTATTCCCTTTAATTCCTAGAGGAACATAGGGCTTCTGCAGCCGCACGTCTCCATTGCGTTCGGTTCTCTGCTTAAGTTTTCACCTGGCTCCAAGTCTGCCCACATGCTTTCATCATCTCCTCTTCACATGACCTTCTCCTCCATGTCACCCTCATCCTTGGACGACGAACTCGCCACTTCCCTTTCGGGGTCCAGTCGAGCAATGGCTTGTCTAGTGATGTCATTCACTTGATGGTTTGTTTTCTCAGAGTATGGCCACAATCCAATCCACCTCCATTTGTTTCTGCTTGTTCGTTGCACAATCGGTTCCTGCTGTGTTGGTTGGTTAGCTCATTGCCAGAGATCCCTCCCTGTTGCTGATCTTTCCTGGCCGTCCGACCGGCCATCTGATCTTGAGTGGTATTGAGCAAAGACAACTAGCTGTTGATAAAGGTCTGTAGATTGTTTGAGGTGCTCTCTATGACGCGCTGGTTAAGTTTCTGTTCCGTATAGTGAGTAGCACTGACTGACTTCACATTGGAGTTGAAAATCCGGATCTAATTTTTGACGCTGAATGCTGTTGACCTTCACACAGACTTGAGAGTAATGAAAGCTTGTCTTGCTTTCGTGATCTTTGCTTTGATATCCTCGTCAGTTGCTTCCCAGGCAGGTAAAAGAGGTTGTTTCTTTCAGGTTCCTTTCATTCATGCTGATTGTTGTCTGTTGATGTTGACCAGGAATCTTCATCACCTGTTTTCTCTATGTTTACCTGAACTCCTTCCTCTCTTTGATGCTTCTTCTGCCAACTTGTTGCTTTTCGCTTGCATATCTTCAATTTTGTGGGAAATCAGACATATATCATCAGCGAAGTCCTGATCCTCCAAGTGTTTGTGTGAGTCCATTTTATGCCTGTTTCCTCATTGCCCGCTGTTTGTCGCATTATCCAGTCTACTGCAATCAGGAAAATCATTGGCGATAGTAGGCAGCCAGCCTTGTCTTACTCCTGTCCTCACTTCGAAGGATTCCGTAAGTTTCCCGTTGTGGATTACTTGGCATGCAGCGTTGTCGTACAACTGTTGGATGAGATGTATTATAATTGTCGGCGGCACCCCTTGGCGGTAGCGAATTATTTGCCAAATCACCTCTCGGTCGACGCTGCGCTGTCGAAGGCCTTCTCAAAGTCGATGAAGTTGAGATAGAGAGGTGCATCTGTCTACTGCTCTCCCCTATACATTGCAAGCTTCACATTCTGAACACTTTATCCTGTAGACACCGTTTTGTTTTGTGACATTTTGGGAACCCATATCCTTGACATTCACCAAGTACGAGGATATTCAAAAAGGGACTGATGCGTTAGTTCCAATCATATATATATATATATATATATATATATATAAAAGTTCGTTCAACCCCTCCAACTTTCATGGTCTTAATCCCTCTATGCTAAAGTATGGTAATCCCCAATCATATTTTAGCTCTGCGTCGGTGGCATAGCGGTTAGGACGCTCGCCGACCACGCACATGGTCCTGGGTTCGATCCCCAGCCACTGACGCACTCCTTTACCTCGCTAAGCCAGAAGTAATGCTGGTGAAGAGGAAAGGTTGGGCATGAGGCTAACAACCACAACCTGTAAAAATAAACACTGCTAAAGAAACTTCAAGTCACAAGCTTGAAGCCCTATGTTCCACTGGGGAACGTGAAGGATAAAAAAAAATTTTAGCTCTACCAATGTTTTCATTTTGTCTTTTCAGCTTGTATTCTCTTCCTTTATTACAATGTCAATTGTTACTACTATTAATATTCTCACTTTCTATTTTCCCCGGTATTATTTCACTTGTTCCACTTGTCATTCTAAATCAATTCTTCCTTTTTACAACATTAAATTCTATGCTATCAAATTTCACACAATATCACGTAACGTTTTTATTTTATTCGATGTGCTGTCTACTAATCCTATAATTGCACACTCTTTTTCAAGTTCTATCCATCCTATGAATTATTCTATATATGTGACATTAATTGTTTTACCACTTGACATTTAACTACGATTATAATCACAAACATTTTAGTTTTATTGCATTTCATATTATTATTATTATTTTATGTATTCACACCTATGTTTCAATTCCCTCACTGGATATAACTTCTTAAAAACCATATATATACGATTGTACAGCTTGATGATAAATTCGTTGTTGAAAAGAGTCTCTTCGCTGAATCATTTGTTTTGATTTTCTATATGTTACAATGGGAGTTTTCCATGTTATATATATACATATATATTTATAAAGAACTTTTGAAGATATGTGTTCTAACTGCTTGACAGTATATACATATTCATATATTTCTTGTTAACCATGCTTACTCTGTAACACAGGAGTCAGACAAGGGTGCTTATTATCACCAATGATATTCCTAATTGTGGTGGACTGAATTATGCGTCGTCAAACAGTGGGAAACGAGAAGACAGGGATATCATGGACCGACGTGAAGAACCCAAAAAGACCTGGATTTCGCGCGTGGATGATTTATATTTGATGACTTACAAAATCGAAGACTTCCGAGCGAAAACCGACAAACTAGTCGAAGAAGCAGCAAAGACACGGAGGCTATGAAAACAACCAACCAGCACCAATCACCATCAACGGGAGGTCTGTCTGTCTGTCTGGATTCAACATAGAACTTGGCACCGAAGTGCAGCAGTTCGAGTTGCCACGTTCCAAATAGCACACAAAGGTAGACAAGAAGATGGATGAGTGAAGAGAATCAATCAATAGAGTTTTGACAAGTATAAGAGTGAAACAGAATTAGTAATGGTAGAAAGGAGTATGAAGGTTAAAGAGACTGAATACATCTGCGCCATTGACAACGACTTTGAGCCATGTCACCTATTGTCTCCAGCCATTGATTCTTAGAGTCCCGAGGGCCCCAACCCGGAAGTCTGCATCTCCCTACCTGACTCAGTTTAACTGTCAAGGATTTCATGGACTGATGCCATGTTTTTGTTTGGCCACCACTTACTCTTTTCCAACCTGAACCTATATCAGCTAGTAATGCCCGTCCGTCGGGGGAGACGATGGTTAGGCATGCGCAGCACGTGGGAGGGATTTGAAAGAGGTTACTTCATTCACTTATCTAGCTAGGGAGCACTGTCTCAACTACAGGAGGAACGGACGAGGAGGTATAATCGAGAATCGGGAAGGTGAGAAACACATTCATCAACCTGAAACCAATCTGGAAATCTTCCGCTGTCACTTAGCAACACTCAACAACAAAATTCGGATTTTCAATACAAACGTCAAGTCAGTCAGTTCTTCTATACGTGCGGATGAGAAACTTGGCGGCGGGTCACAAAGAATATTTCCAACAGCCTGTTGCAGACCTTTATCAACAACAACAACTGTCTTCACTAGTATCATACTGAAGATCAGATGGCCGCCGGAAAGAACAAGAAGCAACAAGAAACTATGGGGACAAACAAACCAACGAAACAAGAACCAATCGCCCGACAAATATGCAGGAGAAAGAAGTGGAGATGGATTGGACACTCGCTGAGGAGGCCACTGCTGGGTGACATCGCGCGTCAGGCCATCGCTCGAGTGGAACCTGAAAGGGAAGCGGTGAGTAGTGGGACGTCCAATGGTGACATGGAGGAGATCGTGTGAAGAAGAGTTGAAACAGTATGGACTAACATGGATGCAGGTGAAATGTACAGCAGAAGACAGAAGCAACAGGGGAGACGTGCAGTTGGAGTCCTATGTTCCACTAGGAACCCAAGGGAACAATAATAATCATAATAATAATCATGCTTACTCTGTTATCGAAAAATTCTTCAAAAACGCTAAGTGAATCTGCAGGCCATCGAGGATCACAACCGCTTTGATTTTGACTAAGCTGAATTTTCAATCGCCACCACGAAGGAGAAGAAGAAGACGTAGAACATTCAATGCCACCAGTTGATTGACAAGCTCGACGACGACAACAGGTTGACAACATTGACACGTGGACAGTCAATTGACAAGTGGACCAAACAGACATAAATGCACCAGTCGCATAGACTTGATTTGTATTCACCTCACGATGATGTTGATTGATTCGATGATGATCGTCGACTGTCGCCTTCTTCTGGTCATTCGCACACACAGGTAGTAGTACAGGAACATCGAGACTTTGAGTGGCCAGAACAGCCGCATGAAATAGAAGACTCGTTGACAAGTAGGATTCAAGCAGTGTTAGCTTAGAATTAAGTCGATTTGGAGAAGTAGTAGCAGTAGTGGTAGTTACTCCTGATTTCAGATTCGCATAAGTTGGTCTGATCAGTTGAATAAACTGACTGACAGTCAACCCTGTCGATATTTCTGTAAATAACCAAAAATTTAAACAAAAAAATTAAAATAAAAGCATTCAGCAAGTGTAGAAGAGATTCCTTGATGATAATTATTAATAAATAAATTTATTATATATTTCAAAAGAAAATTAGTTCCCTTTCATGAATTTCGATAAAGCAGTAATAAAAAGAAAGACTTGATTTGTCTGTCTGAATCGTGTGTGTGTAATGTGCAAATTTGCGTGCAACACACATTTCGAACAATCTGATCCATCACACACACACACACACACACACATGGACTTGTCATAGAAATGTCATGCATACGTGGAGGACATATTAAAGGTGAAAATAACAATGGAGATAAATGACTAAATCAAATTACAGAGGTAACATAGTAGTTAGTACATCTGCACTGGCTGGTGGCGATCAAAACAAAGTTAACCATCAACAAGGAAGGTAGGTTTAGTTGTTAGTGTGATGACGAATTGCTGCTGCTTTGAACGCATCAAGGTGGTTTGAACTTCCTAACTGACAGCTAGGGCTAGCTAGCTTCCACAAACTTTGGGATACGCTCTCACCCAAGACGTGTTAGTTAACGTCAATTTTATGTCCTGTCTCCTCTACAATATGTTTCGCAATAGAGGACCTAGGTCTTCGTCTGTTCTCACCATTAATGGCTTCTGAAGATTCTGTTTGTTTCTGGAGACATTAAGAAATGTGCTCTGAAACTAGCTAGCCCTTACTTGAACCATATCACTTTGCGTATATGTGTGTGCGTGTGTGTATAACAATTTTCATTCCGACATTTATAAAACACAAAATATAATTGAGTCAGCAAAGAATATCCCCGTTTCGATAAATTCCTCCTCCTCTTCTCGCTCTATAATTATATCTATATATGCATGTTTATATACATAGAATATTCTAGATTAGTAGTCAATAACAATATTAGTGTGCTTTTCAAATAGTAATATCGATTTGTAAAGTAAGATCACAAAGGAATCACCACAGTTCATTAAAGATGCTTAAATAATAATAATAATATTGATAACAAAGATAGTAGGAAATAGAATATCAACTAAAATTAGGAAAATTCCACAAACATTCAGGATCGACCATTCAAACCTAGATGGCCAAGCGGGTAAGGATGATGTCAGAACCAACCAACCAACTTCTTTTGAATGCACAAATTAGGCTTGTTATTCTGGATCGAAAAACGGCCAGCCAGCCAGCCAGCCAGCCTCAGCAATATTTCTGGTAGTCTAACTGTTAAGGTGAAATTGAGATTTGTTAGTTGATAAGCAGTAAATGACCCTGAAAGCCGCCACCTTGTTAACATTAATCAGTCTTGTGTTCTGTTCTGTATCCAAAAGAAGATGAGTGAGATAGAATAGCGTTGTGAATAGATTTTGTTTGTCCTTTACTTAACCAGAAAGAAGAGGAGGAATTTATCGAAACGGGGATATTCTTTGCTGACTCAATTATATTTTGTGTTTTATAGATAGATGTCTGAATGAATATTTTTGTAATATGCATAAGCGAACACTACAACTCTAGAGGTGGTCGGTCACCTCATAGTTGTTATATATAATAGTGCTATTGCTTGCTAGATAACCCTCACAGCTGACTTCAATATACAACCCACACATAACGCTGTTTACTTGGATGCTTGATTAACAAACAATATGTGAGACATTTAATTGAATTTTAGATTTTCCCGTCCATCGATTGATGGATTGATTGGACCGAAGTGCTCAGGTCACAGGTTGACATTTAAATTATTATGACCCGTTGAACAAGAGGTGGCTCTCGTGGCCCAAGTGTTGGAAACTATGGGCGCTACTGGGTTCGAGCCTCCGTGGTGGGAACATCATCCCTGACTCACTGACTGGGGAATGCAGGTACATCCAGCCAGTCAACTGACGAGTCCTAAATAGGACCGGTGAAATGCGCGTTATCCTGGACTGGATTCCAGGACTGCTAGTCACCATCCACCAATTAAATTGTAAGACATTTATTACACTTATAATGGTTGACGTATTGTGTGCAGCGTGTATTACAACAAACGACAAACATATGTGACGCCTTATAGTCCCAATTGGATCGAGTAACGAAAGGATTTGATTGGTTACAGGGCTTTATCATGAGCTGACATCTGTTAGAGAACCATTGGAAAACATGTAGGGAGTACTGGACAGCCAACTGTTTTGTCAGCCTAGTTTGGGACTCTTCATCAGTACGCCCCCATCACCAGGGTTCGAACCCAGAACCTTCTGACACAAGGCGAGCGACCTCGTGGACCGTTAAGCCACAGTGATCCGATCCAATGGCCAGTCAGTGCATGAATTCTAACTTCTACCAATTCACCACATATTGCAACCGCTAGCCAATGCCTTCGGCGAATATTTGTCCTCATACCCCTGACCTGCTGCATCCTACTTGTCACTACAGAAAGTTCAGACAAAAAATGTTGTTGTCAGAGTAGCCATGTTACACACACACACACACACTAAACGACAAGTGGTCAGATTTCCGAAAACAATGTTTTCTGTCGAGAAAGCGACGATTAGCGAGGCGAAACAGAAATTTCACAAGCAAGCATATGTACACAACAACAATTCAAGGTAGGAAAGTGATGATCAACAACTGACAACTTACCCTCTGCATTCATTTCAAACAATTCTTCCAAGGATTTCAAAAATTTCTACAAATATTGGGAAAAAAAGAATAGAAGGAGGAGTAAAAGCTGAACAATCGGAGCAAAAAACACTTTACGAATAAACTGATCAAGAAGTAAATGGAGAATCGAATTAATAATAATAATAATAATAATAATAATCTACTTTATTCCAAAACAGACATTACTTATAATACAGAATGGAATTCTCAGCATTTGTCAAAACACCTTCCTTCTGATTAACTCCTCAAAATATAAATAAAATTAAAAATCAAAACAAAATTAACCAGAGGAATTTGTCCACGTTTACGATACAAAGTCAAAAATATTCGAAGCACAAATTGAGAATATTAAATACCGTAATAATAACAGTAACAGTGAGTTTGTTTCAAACAGTATTGTCGATTCAGTTTGGAAATTTTAGCATGTTATTGTAGAGGCGCTGAATCTAATGTTCTGTTGATATAACGGCATGTTGAGGGAAAATACAAATATAACACACCTTAAATGATGTTCACACTTATGAGAAAATAAATAAACAATTGAAAACGAAAAAGAATGGAGGGGATTATAAATATAAGAAGTACAATAACAATAACAAGGTTGAAGTTGTAAGGGTGGAGGAAAATGGTTTATTTAGTGGTGCAAAGAAGGTTAGTTAGTTAGTTAGTTCATGTCGAACACTATTTTAATCACACAAAGTACGTGCTGTCAAATATGGTATAGTGGAATTTTTTTACTTTGACGTACGTGTATAATGTCTTCTGAAAAGACTTCTTCTTTTACCTGAGGAGGAGACACAAGGTTGGAGCTGTGAGTGCTGCGGTGGATGCTCACAGTCTGACAAAATTCCTTTAGCAAATTTGTTGCATGACATCAAGTGTCTATCATGAATGACAGTGTCAACGATGTCGCCTAATGGGATAGATGCCACTCGCCCTACTGACTGACTGACAGTCTTTAGAGTTCTATGAAGTATCGGGAACTCCAAAGTAATGGACGAATTCAAATTAATGATCAGGTCAGAATTTGCAGTGACACAGTAATCCATTATCAAGTGAATATTATCCAGAACAAAACAGTTTTTCTGTCCAATAATAGGCTGACTGACTGACTGACTGAATTTCTACAAAGACCTACCTTAGCACAAAAGTGAAGCGGTTCATATAGAAGTATGCGCGGTGGAGGTGGGGTTGAGTAGGGTAGGGAAACAACAGTAACATGAAAGAAGCCGAGGGTTTACAAGGCTTTTGATAGACTTGAAGGATTGACTATGAAAAGCCATTTTAAGTTACACACAATAACATTAATATAAAAAGTTTTCTTGTATTTCCCAATGAATGAATGAAAAAGAAACTAAAACTTAACGATATTGTTGTCATTTTTACTGATGTTCCGCTATGTAATGCTGCTGCTAGTAGTTTTATCAAAGCAGTATTATCAAACCAGAAGAATTTACAAAATATCAGCTTGCCTGGACAAGAACAACAACAACAGACAACGATCAGCCAGCGTAAATGGGAGGAACCTGAAAGAAACAACCTCCTTCACCTACCTAACTGGGAAGCATCGTTTCAACTACAGGCCAACGGAACTGATGAGGATGTCAAAGCAAGAATCGGAAAAGCAAGACAAGCTTTCACTACTCTCAAGTCTGTGTGGAGGTCAACAGCACTCAGCATCAAAAATAAGATCCGGATTTTCAACTCCAATGTGAAGTCAGTGCTACTTACTATACGGATCAGAGACTTGCACTGCGCGTCATAAAGAGCATCTCAAACAAACTACAGACCTTCATTAACAGTTGTCTTCGCTCAATACCACTCAAGATCAGATGGCCGGCCAGAAAAGATCAGCAACAGGGAGGGATCTCTAGCAATGAGCGAACCAACCCAGCAGGAACCGATTTTGAAACAAATAGGCAGGAAGAAATGGAGATGGATTGGCCATACTCTGAGAAAACAAACGATCAAGTGACATCACTAGACACGCCATTTCTCGAGTGCAACTCGACAGGGAAGCAGCGAGTTGGTCGTCAGTGTGAGGGTGACTTGGAGGAGGTCATGTGAAGAGGAGATGAAAACGTGTGGGCAGACTTGGAGCCAGGTGAAGACTCTAGCAGAGAACCGAACGCAATGGAGACGCACGGCTGAAGCCCTATGTTCCTGTGGGAATAAAAGGAAATAATAATAACTTAATCATCATCGTTCAGCATCATCAGCATGTTGTCAGCGCAAAGGTGTCAGTTGTTTCAAGTTTCCTTAGACGAACACACACACTCTGATAGCCAATGAGAAGGGGAAGAAGATTAGGAAATATCAAAAAGCTCTACTGAAATTCTCAAGAACTCCATTAACAAAAAATCGACACCGACATTAAATAATGGTCGAAAATGACTTCCAAAGACATGCGGGAGTAGGGCCTCAACAGTTGTCACTGCATATGGATCAGAAACATCAGATGACATCAGAAGCGTATTATTCAATAAGCTCGACATCAGTGTTTTCTTCAAAACATCAGACACACTGTAAATTCACCTAAAGATTCTCAATGTAACTGCATCCATAAAAAAGTGCCTGGAATGTGATGTGGTATACATTGGACAAACATCACCAGAGAGAAATCAAAATCAGAAGAAATGATCACCGTAGAGTCGCATCTGCTCGACCACCGAGAAATAAATCCGGTTGAACTAGAAAAGCTTGAAAATTCATCAGCCATAGGTCATCTACACGCCACGCTATAGAATCAGGCCACAAAATTGATTTTGACAATATTGAAATTATGATCCAGAAAAAGCATTTCAGAAATCATAAAGAACGTACGTCTAATAAGAGAAGTACTTGATATCAAATGGAATGCGAATTTGGTGAATAGGAATGATGGGCTAAAGCAGAATTTGACTTGGTTACAACACCCTCCTCCCTCATGAAACGACTAAATCAACACAAATGTGTAGACATACGCTGCTTTTATAATCTTAAACACTTATCGAATCGAACAATCTACACCTGGTTTTGTTATCTTTACCAATTGCTCCTTTCATCCTCTTTTCAATCTTTGGCGACACTGTTTCTCCTTTGTATGGGAGGGAGGCAAATGAACAATTTCTTCTTTTCCATAACTGTTGGATACTTCTCTTTCTCATCTCTTTCTTTGCTGTACTTTCGGATACCCGTTTTCCTGAAGGCATTTTTCAACAAACCTTAATTCTTCTTCTACCTTGTTAGGCGAACATAACTTACTGGCTCTGTCGTACACTGTTCTTACTAATCCCCGTTTATAGTTCATAGGGCAAAAGCTGTTGTAGAGAAAGTATTGTCCAGTCCAAGTTTCTTTTCAGTAGATGAACTTTTCAACCTTTCCATCGTTTCTCCTATTTACATTTACGTCCAGGAAATTGAACTCGTCGTTGTGTTCGTATTCCATCGTGAATTTAATGTTTGGGTAGATCTCAATAAGGCGGTTAAATAATACGGATGCCTGACTCATATCGTTACAAACAACAAAAGTATCATAGACGTATCGAAACGTAGTATGTTGTTTCATTGATAGCGTCACTCAGTGACGTCTGTTCGAGCTGGCCCATGAAAATGTCGGCTAGAAGAAAGTGTTCATTTGCCTCCCTTCCATACAAAGGAGAAACAGTATCGCAGCTAAACTGGTGACACTATAGAGCACTACATGCTCTATAAGGCAATCCAAACTGGATAAGCACCCTGTTGATGTTACCTCCAACTGCATTTATAAATTTACGTACACCTGCGACAGCAAGTACATTGGAAGGACAGAAAGAAGGGCTTCTATCCGCTGTTTTCAGATCATTTTCCAAGAAACTTATGCTTAAAAGGAAGCAGATATTTACACACAAAGTGCAATTACCAGACACTCACCCTGTGGATACCTCGGGTCATTTTGTCGAGATTTCGAAATCCTTCAGAATATTAAACATACAAAGGACAGCGAATCTACTACGATTTACACCTGAAGCAATTACAGCAATCAAGCGTCTCAGACCAAACTTATGCACACAGACAGAGAGAGTGTAGTCAATCTCTCACTCCCTTGGTAACCGTATCACTTTCATTACATTGATTAGTCACATACACTAGTGAGCTCAGCTCAGCTCACTAAGCGAGTTTTCAAATTGATGAACTTTGACCTTCTTGAGTTGCCAAGATGCTACTTTTCCTTCTTCACATAGTATGATTATACAATGAATTTCTTGTAGTTGTAATTCAAATACCAAGTATTTATCTTCATAATAAGTGTCTGTTAAGTGGCAGCCAGCTAGACTGTATTAAAATGAACAGCTTTCTATCAGGAATTAGCCAATGATCTTCGTCTAGTGATCTGTCTTAAACTAAATCCTTCCAAAAATGTCACACAGTTAATTTCAGTTTCCGATGTGGGTAAAAGAAAGTTAAATGATGAAGCTGTTGGTTCCTATGACCCTTGCAAAATTGATCATACTGATATAGAAAGCAAGTCTGAAGTTAAGTATTTTGGATTAATTCTTTTTACTGACCACCTATCCTGGTTTTCCCATGTCTTAGTGATTTCTAAAAAAATATTTCGTCTGACTTTTTACATTTAGAAGTTAAGTGAATGGGGCATTACCCAACCAATCCCTCCTCCTCTTACAGTTTGTCAATTCGTGCATCTTACCTATTCTTCTTTACTGTTCACCACTGCTTATTCTCTCCTGGATTGCTTAAAGGAAAGACTATGTCATACTTCGTAGAACATGCTAAAATTTCCATACTGAATCGACAATACTGTTTGAAACAAATTCACTGTTATTATTATTATATTTAATATTCTCAATTCGCACTTCGAATATTTTTGACTTTATATCGTAAATGTGGACAAATTCCTCTGGTTAGTTTTGTATTTTAATTTTATTTATATTTTGAGGAGTAAATCAGATGCAAGGGGTTGTGAGAAATGCTGAGAATTCCATTCTGTATTATAAGTACTGTCTGTTTTTGGAATAAAGTAGATTATTATTATTATTATTATTATTATTATAAACCATCATTATTCTAAAATGAACAAACAGCAAACATACCGCGAAGGCTGGTAAAGGCACTAAATTGCACAAATCGTTGCCACTAGTTTGACTATCACCCCATAACTCCGTAGGAACAGGTGGATACAGGTTGATCTTCCCAGTTAACTGACTATATCCATCAGACAACTGAATACACTTCGAGCCCATCATCCATGAATCGTTATGAGGATAGGATGATTTCACGGTGGGGAGTGTAGCTGGCTGTTGTGGTTTCTTTAAAACAATGCGTAGACTTAACGATGCACGGTAGATAAGAATGAGATCATTCGATGATAAGGCAATAAGCACTATACCACGTACAGATTTGATACAGTTGCTGGAGAAAGGGAGAACCTAGGAATAAAAGATTTTCGGAAAAAAGAAAAGAAAAAAGACAAAACAATTAATTGGTTATCATCTCTCTGTCTCTTTGTCTGAGGATATCCCTAAAATGGAAGATTAACTTTCAAATGAACTGTCTGTCGTCAAGATTCGACAGAATAGTTCTAAAATATATTTGGGCGCCGAGTGAGAAGTAGACATTTTTAGAACTATTCCGTCAAATCTTGACGACAGACACAGTTCATTTGAATTATTCTTTTGCAATCGAATTAAATTAACAAAGAAACTATATGTAATTGGTACAATCATCGTATTTTCACTCTCTGTTGTCCGTAACAGAATAATGCATATCGAGTCACCTGACAACTCTCCAGTAGGTTGAATAAAGCAGCTCAATCTTCAGAGAGAAAGAAGACAAAGCAATGAGTTCGACAGGGTGCTCTTCAACTAAACTGTAATCCTAAACACCATAATTTTGAAAATATACGTCTAGTCATAAAATTCTAGATATACTAACAGTTTGAACAGACATGAATGTGTGGTGTGATGTGTGTTAGCTGATGCACAGCAAATCCTGATTAATAAATAAAAATGGATATATATATATATATCACTAATTAATTAATAATACTTGCATGGAGGATTTCATCATGAGCTCACATCAGTTGGAGAACCACTGGAAAACCTGCAAGTAGTACTGGACAGCTAGCTGTTTCCCTCGTCCTAGTTTGGGACTCTTCAGCAGTACGCGCCCACCGCCAATGTTCGAACCGAGGACCTTCTGGTTACAAGACTAGCGAGCTAGCTCGTAGACCATTGAGTCACTGGGACCCGATCCAATTGCCGGTGCATGAATTCTAACTTTTGCCAATTCACGCACGACATAGCGAGACCATTTCGCAATTTCTTCTTCGATGAGTCAGTTACTGCCTCATCTTCAACCTGCTGTACCCTACTGGTCACGGCTTCCCATTTGAACCTCAGGTTAACTGCCTGAATAGGATCAGTCGCTAGCTAGTGAGCATCAGATTAATTTTCAAGCTAGAATTCAAGGACCATTGGATCGGATCCCAGTGGCTCAATGGTCTACGAGCTCACCTTGTAACCAGAAGGTCCTGGGTTCGAACCCGGATGGTGGGTGCGTACTGCTGAATAGCCGGTCCCAGTTGTTCTCTCACTGATGTCAGCTAATGATGAAATCCTCCATGCAATCAAAAATAATTCCTACAAAACCAATACTTGAAAGTAATAATACTTGGTCAAATTCCCCACTGTCTATATATTCTTATGGAGACGTTAACAAATGTTTTACAAATATTTACTCACACACACACACATACACACTATTTAAAGTGTTTAACAAAGGTAGACCAATATTTGTAAGAGGTCTGAGGTGAAATTTTGATCACAGCTCATACAATGCTTTGTTTATTATACAACAACAAGAGATGTCCCCCTTTTCTGCACATAAACCTCTGTTATGTTAATTTCGATTAGTTTCCCTGAAGAAGAAGTTCGGACCAGATTGCGACGAACGCAGGAAACGTTGGAATTACTCACATTTCAATCTCGCTGAGATTTTACAAACATAAAAATTTTTTACAAAGGTTACCTTTAACGGTATAAAAAGGGGAATCCTTTCAAATCATTACGACAAAAGCATTATGTGAATGTAGACTGGCTGGCTGTACGAGTATGACTGCCGTATTCTAACTCTAAGCATTCACTATTGTGTTATAATGCTGACTGACTAAGACAGTAAAATCAAATCACTTCTCCTCAAATTGTAATCTTCTTAATTTTAAGATACAATTGGAAAAAATTGGGCTATTAAAAAAAAAACAATTTAAGCAATCAATCTTCCTAATAAATAGGCAATACTAAAAAGTGAAATTCATAATTGATTGTCAAATTAGGTAAATTGATTGCATCACAGTGAAAAAAAAGTGAAGAACTCCGTGTAATTACTATTTTAACAATGCAGCACTGTAATGAGTTGGAATACAGTACTCACATGGGGGCAACTTTCCACGAACTGAATAAAATCAGTTACAGAATTATGGATGACCAAGAGGTTCTGCACACGTCTTTTGCACCACTACTTCAGGAATTGGTAGTAGTAATGCAACGACAGAAGACAAGGCCAGTCAGGCAACAGATCGTTTATTGAGGAAATCAACACATATCATTTATCGATTTTCATGTACATTATTATTATCGATTATTGTTAGCAGATAAACACAGTCTTCTGATTGGTGGTTGTTTCTCTTTGTGGCTGTCTCTTGAAGGTCAGATCATCTATCTACCTGCTAATTGTATCGGCCTACGCAAACAAAGTGTGCTGTGAATGGTTGTTGGTTGAGTCAGTCAGTCGTTGTTCTTGTTCTTTTCTCATGACCAATATTTGGAACATAAACATTGCTGTGAATTGCTGTCTACCAATTTACGTCACAAATGTTGGTCATGAGAAAAGAACAAGAACAAAGACTGACTGACTCAACCAATCACAGAACACTTTGTTTGCGTAGGCGGATACAATTAGCAAATAGATAGATGGTCTGACCTTGAAGAAACAGCCACAAATAGAAACAACCACCAATCAGAAGACTGTGTTTGTCTGCTAACAATAATCTATGATAATAATGTACATGAAAATCGATAAATGATATGTGTTGATTTCCCTAATGAACGATCTGTTACCTGGTCCTTGTCTTCTCTTGTTACAGGATTAGTTCAATAATTTTTTAGAAGCTTATTCAATGAGAAGAAAATGCTATGCTTAAATAATTCTGCCTCATCAAGGAAGGTATCAACAATGGTTAGGAAAATTACAGTACTGCAGCTTAAAATCTATCCTAAAGCTGCTGCGTATGTCCACAGTCGGTGTTTATTGTTCTCGAAAATTTTGGCATTTCGGCATCGAAAAATATCATCTTACTATTCCCTCATATGTATTCCCTCCATTTTCCTAGAACTTCTCTCCTATTTTTCGACGTGGCAGTCAGTTTACATGGGTGGCTTAATGCAATTCCGTATATATATAAGCGCAGGTTTTCTTTTTTTTTTCATTTTTACACTTAATTCAAAAGGGAAACTCAACTTTACAAAACATGTGACCAACATTTTCTGTAAAATTCGTTTTAACAACAGGTATTGGTGTTTATTGAATCAAGCCTACATAGTTTGATTTAGTTAGATGTTTTGTTTTTACGAGTTGATCACGGATTGATGATATCAGTTAAAGAATCAGCCACAGAGAGTACTGGTCAGCCAGCTGTTTCATCAGCCTAGTTTGGGAATCATCGGCAGTACGCACCCACCATATGGGGTTCGAATCCAGGACATTCCGGTTACAAGGCAGGCGGGCTCGCATACTATTCAGCTACTGGAACATGATTCAATGGGTCATGATTCTCAAAATAGGATGAAACAGCTATCCAATACTCCCCCAGGTGGTTTTCAATGGTTCTCTAACTGATCGATATCAATCAATGATCAACTCATAAAAACATAACTAACCCTTAAAAACCAACTATAGAAAATTAATCTGATGCTCGCTAATGACCACTTGCTACTGGATGGAGTTTCCTGCAGTGAGTTCTAGTGAGAAGTCATGACTTGTGAGGTCCATCCAGATGTCACGTATGAGGATGGGTGTCACATCGACGACATTGGTTGGTGCCTGTCGCGCTAAATGCATCACGAATTGGTAGAAATTAGAATTCATGCACTGGCTGGCCATTGAATCGGGTCCGAGTGAGTGGCTGAATGGTATACGAGCCAGCTAGCTTGCCTTGTAACCGAAAGGTCCTGGGGTTCGAACCCCACTGTGGTGGGTGCGTACTGTCGATGTTTCCCGAACTAGGCTGATGAGATGAAACAGCTGGCTGTCCAGTACTCCTTGTGGCTGGTTTTCAATGCTTCTCTAACTGGTCGATATCAATCCGTAATCAACTTGTAAAATCAAAACATAACTAACCCTTACAAACCAAACTATAGAAAATTAGTTAGATGTATTTTGATCATTCACCTGCTGTGAATAAAGAATTACACAATTTATTGTACATGGGGATGTGTGAGTGTGTCGGTGGTGGTGGTCCAATGGTAGAATTCTCTCCAACAACGAATGTAGGCCGAATTCAAATTCCGGCGGATATACTGCTAAACCTCGTGCGCTTACCTCGAAGCAAACCCGGTAGAAACTGAAGGTTAGCAGTGAGGTCAGAAACTCTTCCCCCGTAAAAAAGCAGTTACTAAAACTTTAAAGACAAAATTCAGCCAGCGAAGGGAATGCTTCTTTATCGACGAAATCATCTTCACAGACTGGCTTGGCTGTACAGTCGGATTTATACTTACCAAAAAGATAGATATATAGTGGTCTATTATTGAGTAATGGGCGGGTGTGTGTGTGACATAATTGATATAATTACTCGGAAGTGGCTTTAGAAGTAAAATAATTAAAGTTGTAAAGTACGTGGTACTCAACGCCAAAAAAGATAGAAATTTGATAAGAAGGTTAAAATGGCTATTGAGTCAGTGAGAATAAAGGTGATACGGCAGCTGAGATCCTGAAGAATCGCTGCTTATGCAGATCACTGAGAAAAGCCTTCTTTATTATGGCTAACCTACGTATCAATTTCTACAGCCGACAAATGATCAATGGATGTGTGAAGGATAAACTGACGCTTTGGACAGGCCATCTCAATGTGTGTGTTTATAAATTCACCTGCTCGTGTGGAGCTAGTTATATTGACCACCCGAACAACTTGGCGATCACTTTCCAAACGCATCTCTGAACATTATCCGAAAATTTGTGGTTAGCAAAAGGACAATGCAAGAAAATTAGCTACTAGTTCAATTCTCGAGTACTTGGTGAACTCAGACCACCCAACTCCACCAGAGTCGTCTTTCAACATCATCTATAAGGTTAGGCCAAATGGTACAAAGGGCATCAGGTTTCAGCTTTTGTGTATGGCGGAGGCGCTGGCGATCCAACGTGAATACAACCCCTAACTCTGTATACAGACAAAACGTTTGTCCAGTCTTTTATTCTACCTTGGTCTTAACCTCTTCATTAGGCGTTCCCTGTAAAAACAGGAATTTTGATTTTTTTTCTTTTCTTTTGCAATTTTCCTTTTAGTTTGCTTTTGCTTTAATAATTAATTCACTTTTATCACTCTTATATGCTCCCTGTTGTACATTTTCACACCCTCTCGACACACTTGTTAAATTGACACTCAACTACCACCTTTATTCTCTCTCACTCAATAGCGATTTTAACCTTATCAAATTTCTACCTTTGTGCCGTTGAGTACCACGTAATTTACAACTTTTAATTTCTTTTACTTCTAAAGCAACCTCCGAGTAATTATATCAATTATGTCACTTCACCCCCTCCCCCTATTACTCAACAATAGACCACTACATATATATATTTTTGGTAAGTATAAATATACGACTGTACAGCCAAGCCAGTCTGTGAAGATGATTTCGTCGATAAAGAAGCATTTTCTTCGCTGGCTGAATTTGTCACCTTTAATTTTCTTCAAAACTTCAAAAACTTAAGTCTCAAGCCCGATGTTCTACTCAGAACGCAGAGAAATGGGAAAAGGTGTGGCTGGCTCAGCGACAACTGCATGGAGATGCGGGTAATCGTAATGCTACCTACAAATATCACTGCTACTAATTCTAATAACAATAATAATAATAGATAATAGCAAAGTATGAATGCAGAAAATATTACCTTTAAACCATTATACGATAAAACAAGATCCCGAAGATACTCCATAGATTGGAAGAATTTCAATGTATTCAACAATGTCTGCAGGTGAAAAAAAGTAAAGTAATGCATAAAAAAGTTAATCACAGTCCGTCTGCCATCCATCTACTTTATATTAACTACTGGAATCACTCCTATTACAGGCATATATTATTATTATTTATTGTTTCCTTTATTTCCCAGAGGAACATAGGGCTTCAGCCAAACGTCCCTATTGCGTTCGGTTCTCTGCTACAGTCTTCACCTGGCTCCAAGTCTACCCACACGTTTTCATCTCCTCTTCACATGACCTCCTCCACTCCATGTCACCGTCGCACTGATGACCAACTCGCCGCTTCCATTTCAGGTTCCACTCGAGTAATGGCTTGTCTAGTGATGTCACTTGATGGTTTGTTTCCTCAGAGTATGGCCAATCCAATCCACTTCCTCCATTTTTTCCTGCTTATTTGTTGCACAATCAGTTACTGCTGTGTTGATTCGCTTATTGCCAGAGATCCCTGTTGCTGATCTTTTCTGGCCAGCCAACTGATCTTGAGTAGTATTGAGCCAAGACAACTGTTAATGAAGGTCTGTAGTTTGTTTGAGGTGCTCTTTATGACTCGCTGGCCAAGTCTCTGATCCGTATAGTGAGTAGCACTGACTGACTTCACATTGGAGTTGAAAATCCGGATCTTATTTTTGAAGCTGAATGCTGTTGACCTCCACACAGACTTATGAGCAATGAAAGCATGTCTTGCTTTTCCGATTCTTGCTTTGATTTCCTCGTCAGTTCTGTTGGCCTGTAGTTGAAACGATGCTTCCGACGTAGGCAGGTGAAGGAGGTTATTTCTTTCAGGTTTCTCACATTTACGCCGGCTGATTGTTGTCTGCTGTTGTTGTTCTTATCCAGGAATCTTCATCAGCTCTGCCTTCCCTATGTTCACCTGAAGTCCTATCTTTGATGCTTCTTCTGCCAACTTGTTGCTTTTCGCTTGCATATCTTCCAGTTTGTGACAAATCAGAAATATATCATCGGCGAAGTCCAAATCCCGCAAGTTTTTTGTGTGAGTCCATATTTTCATGTAGAATAATTTGCAAAATAAAAAAGTGATACACATAGGCTGATTATGTATTATTATAAATTATTTAAATTAATCCCAGCGGATTGTTTAAGAAAAGAAGGAGAAATCAAAACAAGATCTGTTTTCTGAACGTTTCGCTGTGTAAGAAGGTGCCACAGCCAGCTTCTTCAGCAGCAGATTTATTCGGATTTTTATTAATTTTCACATAAATTGAAGTCAGTTTATTTGAAGGTCTCTCGTCGATAGACATTTGTACCAATAGAAATATGTAAGCAGTCATCAATCATATATTTGTAATTACTAGTGTCAATATCGAAAGGACCCACCCAGTTGAACAACTTCAAAGACTATTTGCTTCATAAAGTCTATGTCAAGCGCTCTAATTCTCTGGAGAAAGCGTTGGTACATGTCAAGGACATGGTTCCCAAAAATGTCACAAAGTAATTGTGTCTATAGGATAAAGTGTTCAGAAGTATGAATCTTGCTATATAGGGGAGAGCGGTAGACCGGTGAAGGTCAGAGTGAATGAACATAGACTATGCACGAAACGTCCCCGCCTAGAAATGTAGTAGAATTAAAAAGTCTGGGGAAAAGATCGGCTATAGCAATGCACGCTATCATCTATGGACACCGGACATAAGATTGATTTCGACAATGTCGAAATTCTTGCAAGAGGATTTCATTCAACACACATAAAGGAAGGTTGACCTCTGAAGCCTGCCTTGCACATTTGAACCACATCGAATGCAGTATATAAGAAGGAGAGAAGGGGTAGACTTATCACCACCTATATGGCAAACTCTAATGAAGCAAGACAGAGGAAAAAAACAACAAAAACTCCATGAGCCTTCATGTTTATCACATGTGAATTGACGTCTTTTCTGTCATATGACAAATAACATACACTCACACACACTCATACAAAAATATACACAATGAGAATTTGACACTAGTAATCACAAATATACGACTGATGACTGCTTACACAATTTCTATTGGCACGAATGTCTGTCGACGAGAGACCTTCATATAAACTGCCTTACTTCAATTTATGTAAAAAATGTTTTGACTATATGTATTTTGATGATTAATAGAAAATCCGAATAAATCTGCTGCTGAAGAAGCTGGCTGTGGCACCTTCTTACACAGCGAAACGTTCAGAAAACAGATCTTGTTTTGATTTTCGTCTTTTCTTAAACACTCTGGGATTAATTTAAATAATTTATAATGAATCAATCTGACTCGGCGCTCAAATTATTCCAGGAAGTTCGTAACACCTACGGTCTGTAAACTTATCATTACGTATTAGTTTATGCACACAATTTAGATTCCAACTAATCGTAAGCAGCAGCAAAACAATCGATACGACCGAAAGAAATACACAAACCAAAACCAACTGTAATCATAATGAGGAATTGGCAACTCAGATAAGAGGTGATCAAAGTAAAAGAGTTTTAATGAGAAATCTCCGTTAGTTTCATTTTATTGCTTAATATGGTGCCACCATCCTCAACCCTCCCCTTAAATCAATACTCTCTGTTTTCGACATAGAACTTTGCACCAATGCGCACCAGTTCAAGTCACCACACTCCCTCCACTCCATGTAGCACACAAAACGCAAGAGAAGAAGAAAGTAAAAATGAAATGCATAATAGAGAGAGACAGTAAACAGAGGTGTGGTGAGACAAAGGAATAGTAATAACGAAGAACACAACATAGTTTCATTGGAAATCATAAGTCACAAGGAGTGAATGCATCTGCGCCAGCCAGCCAGACATTGAGAACGATCGCTTTGAGCCATATGATCACCAATTGTTTCCAGCCTTCATTGGTTTTTACCGTCATATCGATGACCCCAACCAGTCAGGAAGCCAGTCTACACCTTCCTACGAGGCTTAGACTAACTGTTGTAGATTTCATTGACTGGTGACATGTTTTGGTTTGACCGCCGCTAGCTAGCTCTTTTCCAGCCTGACTAATCCTATGTCAGGTAACATTGCCCATTGTTGAGAAAGGCGATGGAAGGCTAGGCATGCGTGGGTAACACATGTCCTAACCATCTCGCTCAGTCGATGTAATTTCACAGCCTCATTGTCGATTGATTTCCCCTCCTTACCTTAAATCTCTGAGTTATCTTAATCTGCATGCATCAACTATTGTGTAATAAACAATATGCCTAAAAGAAATCTGATGCTCGCTAGTGACCACTAGATACAGGACGGAGTTTCCTGGAGTCAGTTCTAGTGAGAAGTCGTGACCAGTGAGATTCAACCAGTACAGTAGTCAAGTGTGAGGATAGATTTCTCACCGATGACCACTGATGAAATTGGTTGGTGCCAGTTGCGCTAAATGCATCACGAATTGGTACAAGTTAGAATTCATGCACTGGCTGGTCATTGAGGAATCGGGTCCCAGTGAGTGGTGGCTGAATGGTATACGAGTCAGCTAGCTAGCTTGCCTTTTAACCGAAAGCTGCTGGGTTCAAACCCTCTGTGGTGGGTGCGTGCTGCTGATGATTCCCATACTAGGCTGATGAAACTACTGGCTGTCCAGTACTCTCTGTGGCTGGTTTTCAATGCTTCTCTATCTGATATCAATCCGTGATCAACTCGTAAATACTTTGATAAAACTATTAGCAGCAGCACTAAACAGCGAAACATCAGTAAAAACGACAACAACATCGTTCAGTTTTTTTTTTCATTCATTGGGAAATACAAACACCTTTTATAATAATGTTGTTTTGGGTGATTGGTATACGAGCCAGCTAGCTTGCCTGTGTGAAGTGGTACAATAGGGTGAGCAATATTGAGGTTAGACGTCTGTCAACTGCTAGGTGAAGAGGAGATGAAAGAAAAAATCGACGAGGTTGTGAAATTGAGATGGTTAGGACAAGTGTTACGCAGTTACGTCTAGTCTTCCATCGACTTCCTCGACGATGCGCAATGTTAGTTGTCATACGATTGGTCAGGCTGGAGAAGAGTTAGTGGTGATCAAACCAAAACATGGCTTCACCAGTCAATGAAGAAATCTATAACAGTTAGTTTAAGCCAGCCAGCCAGCCAGCCACGTAGGAAGGTGTAGACTGGCTTCCTGACTGGTTGGGGTCCTCGGGATGACGGTGAAAACCAATGAAGGTTGGAAATAATTGGTGATGATATGACTCAAAGTGATCGTTATCAATGGCTGGCTGGCTGGCGCAGATGCATCCACTCCTTGTGACTTATGATTTCCAATGAAACTATGTTGTGTTCTTCGTTATTACTATTCGTTTGCCTCACACCTCTGTGTTTACTGTCTCTATTTTCACATTCTCTTGCTTTGTGTGCTACATGGAGTGGAGGGAGTGTGGTGACTTGAACTGATGCACATCGATGCAAAGTTCTATGATGAAAACGGACAGACAGACAGACAGACGGAAGAGTGTTTATATAACCAAGCCAGGAGCCTCTAACTAGTGAGTGAGTGAGTCAGAAGATTGAAAAATAATGAAATCAAACAAATAAAGAAAAAAAATATTAAAATATTGAGTAACTAACTACCCAACAGATTCTATTCAGAGATGTATGAAGGTCCACATTAGAAAAATACGAGTAGCAATATAAGTAATGAAAATAATATTTATATAAATAACGGGGAATTTAAAGCCTCTACAATAGTACTACTACCACCATATGAGGAAGTAACATCACAAACCCTATGCAGGATGTCCAGTGAGATGAACCAACTCACTCACAGTTAAACTTTGCCAGCTCTTAAAAACTCGATAGATGCAATTAGGGAAAAATAATGTGATTTAATTGAATTTTAGATTTTCCCGTCCATTGATTGATTGGACCCAAGTGTGCTCGGTCTCAGGTGGGTTGACATGTCTGTGTTGGCTTCTTGTGCAGATATCCTTCGACGACGATGTGTCTGGGCATTTAATTTAATTAGAATTTAATTGGTGGATGGTGACTAGCAGTCCTGGAATCCAGTCCAGGA